ACAGACAGACACCTAGATAGACAAAAAGACGGACAGACAGACACCTAGATAGACAAACAGACAGACAGACAGACACCTAGATAAACAAAAAGACAAAGACAGACACCTAGATTGACAGACAGTCACCAGATTGACAGACAAATGTAAAAATTGACATTAAGACAACAAAATATTAATAAAAAAATCAATCAATATAGAGCAACTGTGCACAGAAGGTAATTTATTAAAGTTAAAGTTAACTGACATTAGTTCACCTGTTGTGATGGCAGGTGACCAATAAGAACAAAATAAACTTTTAGGACGAGGGTTTTACAGAAAGGGAGCAAAGACTTTCCCAAGACAGAAGGTGACAAGATGTGCTGCACAAACGTGTTTTCAAATTAAAGGTACAAACTAGAAATCCTGAATTAAGAATCATTCAGATACACCTGATCATCTTCCCCTCCTCCTGAGTGAGAAAGGAGACACGGGATTATGTAAAGCAATAAAATATTTCAACACAAAAGCTGCACGCACACCAGATCTGTGGTGACAAGCGTATAAACTCTGAGTCAGCCTCGGCTCACACATCACCGTGTGTTTTTAAGGTTTTCGCCACTTTAGGTAATAATGCTCGAGCATAAACAAACATCTTCTCAAATTCACTCAAAATGCAGCACGGGAGCCAAAGGAGCCCGAGAGACTGAACCGGGGCAAAGGGAATAGAAAACGAGGATATGAAAGGCTGAAGAAAAGTGAAGCAAAAGGAGCCGACGCGCATGAGATGGAGGCAACAAAAAGAGACTAAGGAGGAGGAACCAGCAGCTGATGAAAGCCGTCTGGATATTTGCTGCCTGCCAGAGGCTGTAGGGCTGAGAAACCCTCCAGGCAGAGGGGCATTTAAACACCAGCCACCGCTTCCTGATGCTCCCCGCTCACTTTATTATTTCATCTGGGCCTCTTGCATAATCTGACATCCTGCCTTCCATCTATATTTCATCAGTTAGAAAAGCTACAGGCCCATTAATGTGGGCAAAAACGCCTTTAAACTGTCACCCAACCAACACGCAAACGGAAACATCTGAAAACGACAGAACAGCGCGTAACTAGAACATTTAATACACGAGTAATAAAATCTAAGCTTTTAGAGGTTTTCCTGAGAATTTAACTGAAATCCAGTGGTCCATGAAATATTTTGCTAACAGAAGCACACACAGGCATCATGTGGTGACTAGTTCCTGGCACATCGAACTCTTTTCTGGAAGATGTGAATTTAAAGGTTCGATGGGAGGGTGTGACGTGTCCTCCAGGACCTTCACAAAAATCCTAACAGATGATTGAAAATCTTCTGCCTGCTCACAGATTAGAGGAGTTTAACAACAGCAGCCACAAACACAGACACGATGACACTGAAACAGAAGAAACGGCTTTAAAAGAAATTTCAAAACACAATCATTTGTCTGAAAGTGTTAAATCCATCAGCTGAGGTGCCGCTTCAGAAAGAATCCTACATTGTCTTCAAAAATCTGATTCTCTCTGTCAATACTTCGCTTTGTTTTATTTATTTATTTATTCATTCATTCTAAGAGATCCACATTGTTAGAAAGGTTAAAAAAACCTAATATTTATTCAAAAGTGTTGGTTAGTAGTGCATAAGGCCATTAGAGCAAACAAAACAGCCATAATGTGTCTGGAAACACGTGTTTTTCAGTTTTTATATTACATTTTGTTGCATGTGTACAAAGCAGAGGGGAAATTAAAAGTAATCCAGTTCATTAACGTAAGAAAAGTTTTGAACTGTCAGAAAATCTGCGGAAACTTTGATGTAGCACTAAAACCAGTTTCAAACTAAATGAAGCTCACAAAAGGTGCAGACGGACCTTTACTGACCAAGTGCTGATACTTTACATCAGTGGTTCTCAAAGTGGGGTCCCAGACCCGCGGAGGTGAACGAGTCAGTGCTTGGGGGTCCCCCACAAAATGTATTATTTTTTTTTTCCAAGCACGTTCGTGTTTAACAACCTGTTAAAATACACCAAAATGCAGGAAATCACATCTACTTTATTCAAAATATTCTGGGGGAAGACCCCCGGAGGCCCCCCACTAATTGTGTTCTGGCATTGATCAGTTTACAAATTAAGCCCTGTTACTTGGTACGACTACTGCTGTTGTGATTCTGTTCAGTTTTATGTAAAAAGTTTTCTGTAATAATTTGAAGAAGTGGCGATACATTTACGTACACAGACTGGCCAACAAAAAAAAAGTTGCAACCTGGATTTAACTAAGCAAAGGTACGAGCCTCCTATTGGATAATTACTGCATGGGCCATTATCTTTCAGTGGGCAACAAGTGGTGCAATGAGTTGCTTCTCATTTCTTAAACAACCATGTTAAAGACACATGGCGTGGTCGTGGAAAAGATGTCAGTCTGTTTGAGAAGGGTCAAATCATTGGCATCAAGCAGAGAAAACATCTAAGGAGATTGCAGAAACTAAAAATGGGTTAAGAACTGTTTGACGCATTATTAAAAACTGGAAGGATAGTGGGGACCCATAGTCTTCGAGGAAGAAATGTGGCTGGAAAAAAATCCTGAATGATCATGATCGGCGATCACTTAAACGTTTGGTGAAATCAAATTGAAGAAAAACAACAGTAGCACTCACTTCACTTTAACAGTGAAAGTAAGAGCATTTCTACACACAATGTGAAGGGAACTCAAGGGATTGGGACTGAACAGCTGTGTAGCCTCAAGAAAACCACTTACCAGTGAGGCTAACTGGGGGGAAAAAGGCTTCAATTTGCTAGGGAGCATAAAGATTGGACTCTGGAGCAATGGAAGAAGGTCATGTGGTCTGATGAGTCCAAAGTTACCCTGTTCCAGAGTGATGGGTGCATCAGGGTAAGAAGAGAGGCAGGAGAAGTGATGCACCCTTCATGCCTAGTGTCTAGTCATCAATGCAAGATCTTGGTGAAAAATTAATGCAACACTGGATGGAACTAGATCTTGTGACATTGCAGAAGCTTATCGAAACAATGCTACAGAGAATGCATGCTGTAATCAAAGCTAAAGGTGATCCAACAAAATATTAGTGTGTGACCTTTTTTTTGGTGGCAACTTTTTTTTTTTTTGGCCAGGCAGTGTATATGGATGCATTAAGAGAGGACACGGAGGTAGTTGGAGTGAGGACAGAGTGAGATGGAGGAGGAGGACTTCCTGTGGAGACCCCTGTAGAGGGAACGGCTGAAAGAATAACTTAAAATCTGTAATAAAAAAAAATTAAAGATAAAAGCTATGTTAATAACAGAAAATCGTCTGAATTAAATGTGCACCATCCATTTAGATGTGAACCAGTTCAGCTGGTAGTTAAAGACGGATAAAAACAAAAGTCACTGAAACAAAAATGGAAGAACAAATACTACAAACAAATCTGAGGTGTAGAATTAAAAAAAGCATCTTAGGGGGGGACACATCTTAAATTTCTTATTGTTTTTAAAAAACTGGAAACAAAGAAGTTGAGTCCAGAAAGTAAAGATTTTCTGGCCTAAATCTGAGATTATGTTTGTTTTTAATTTGAGCAGATTCAAATAAATAGTAACCGTACCTCTACTGGACGAAGCTTTGATACGATTTCAGATTTTTATTTGTAAACCATCATAGAGTATAAGAAACAATGTTTGAGGAAGATTACTTGTAAAACAACCTTTCACTTCCACTGTAGTGAAACGGGAAGAATAGATCACTTTTCTCTTGGTGCATTTGTCACGATGAGTCTTGACCAATATTCACTTCACAAAATCAAAAACTGCCCGTCCAGTTTATTTTGTCCTGATTTTTCTAACCCTCCTCCTGTGAGATTATCAAACATCCGGTTATTTCTGTGTGATCTTGTCCTCGAGGAAGGGAAACACGCTGGAGCAGTGTGTTCGCTGCAGACAACAGGTGCAGAAACAGCAGGAACCGAAGAGACAACACGCACTCCCACAAATGCCCAGAGATGACGTTGACTCAGACAAACACAAACCGAAGCTTTTAGGAGAACAAACGGGCCGTTCAGACTCACCGTCTTCCCTGCACTCCTCCGGCGGTTTCGCTTTCTTTGCGAGCCGCGGGTCGAGCCACGATGTAGTTTTGGTGTTGTGACTGGAGAAGCAGAGGCGATGATGACGGCGGGGGGGGGGGGGGGGGGGGAGTGTAAACAGAGGTCAGAGAGAGCAAATCACCAATACATGTGTTTCTGTATGTGAGCGGGGGGTTCTGAGGTAAACTAAATGCTCATTAATCTACTAATTGGCCTCCAGCCACTAATTAGTGAGAGTGAGAGGAGAGTGACTTCTGCAGGATATCACACTCACACTAAAGTTTACAATCAAGTGTGTGTGTGTGTGTGTGTTTTCTGTCTGATTAGCATTTCGAAGTCAAATCAATTATTCAGCAAAAAGAACCACAGCTATAAAGTTTTACACACTGTCATACATAAACCATGATTTTAAAGTGGGTGCATTACATGGACGTCCATTTTACCCATTTTGGTTTTATTCATGATCTAAACAAACTGAATGTATAGAAACTCACTGCTTCATAGTAAAAATGTAGCAGCTTATGAAAGCCTCACAGCTGTTTTACTGGTTTCTTTATGGAGTCGCGGCTTATGTGTGCAGCTAAAGGTCGTGACGTGACGACGTGGACGTTTGGGGCTGTTGTTTCAGCAAAACAAGGTTAAAGAGATAGTTCAGGGTTTTTTGGTGGGGTTGTGTGGAGTACGTATGAGTAGTCAGTATCTCAGCTGTGGTAGACATCAGTCAGAGTGATCTCAGTTTGAAGAACTAAGGAGAATTTCTCACCAAGGAGACAACAGCAGTTTGGAAAAGACGTCCAACATTTAATTTATATATATATATATATATATATATATATATATATATATATATATATACACACACACACACACACACACACACACACCACCAGTATATAGTTTCTGGATCTAACAGTCCATTTCACATCCGTCTTCGGTATTAAAGAATTTTGCTTACACTACTCTACTATCACTATACTGTTCTATTACTTTTAGCCTTTAGCTAAGCTTTTGCTGATTTGAGCTTTTAGCTAGCTTTTTCTCTTTTTAAGTTTTTAGCAAGTATTTTTCCATTTTTAGCCTATAGCTAGCCTTTTGATACTTTAGGTGTACTCCTTCAGCTCATTTAGCTTTTTTACAAGCTTTATGAAAAATTTAGCTAGCCTTTTGCTACCTCTAGCTTTAAGCTAACCTTTTGATAACCTTTAGCTAGTGTTTTTTGTAACATGCATGTTTCCCTTTTAGGCCCTGTTAACACAAAACTGTATCTGCTTTCACACCTGCTGCTTTTGTTTACATGAAAACTGTCCTCGAACTCTGAATCCATGTCTCAGAGTAGGGACCCCCCCATATATGTCAAATACTCTGCAGGTCTAATAACAGTTACAATTTTTTTTTTGTGCTACTCACATTTTTTCAGCATGAAGGAACAAAACCAATAAAATCCTAGGTCCAAAAACACAGTGTATTCACCAGTTTGGGCATGACTGTGCTCATTGCAGACATGCATGCAACATCAATCAAATCAATCAACCTTTATTTATACAGGTAAATCCCATTGAGCCTCGAGGACTCATTTACAAGAGAGACCTGATTTAACAAAGAAAGATGACAACAATGGACAACAGCAACAACAATAAACAGTTATAAAAAAGCATACTACAGTTTTTTTTTTTTTTAACAAATAGGATGGCTAAAAGGAAAAGGTAACAAAACAAAAAACAGCTAGATTCCAAGACAATTGTAGAAAACTAAAAACAGGAACATGTCAGCATTGGACCCTGCCAGGAGTCCAACAGATTCTTACATGCAGACATGCATGCAACATGCAGACATGCATGCAACATGCAGACATGCATGCAACATGCAGGCATGCATGCAACATGCAGGCATGCATGCAACATGCAGACATGTATGCAACAT